TTCTGTCTGTGTGCAGATATCATTAGGTTGTGTATACACTGGCTATGTTCTTTATTTGTTTTACATAATCTAACACAATTTCCAGAAAGTTTATTTTGGGGTATACTTTCATGGACACTGATGAAGTGATCAGTGAACATAAAAGCTTTATGCCAAAATGAAAATTAGTTTTTAAGGTGCTACATGTTTCTTTGCTATCTTACTTAAATGAAGAATGGCAAATGTTGCAAATTAGCTTTGTTTGTTTAAATAAAGTGCAAAAGCAAAGCAAAGCAGGGACATAGAGTGAGTTAGGGAGCAATCCTAGACACCTCCTGGGGGCAACAAAATAGTTCAGATTCTAGGAATCTAGGCTGGTGATAACTGTGTACTCCTGGAGCTACAAATTAAAGTTCCAATCCTGATCTTCCTTCCCTTTGGCATGGAAAAAATGGCACTAGCTTCTTTCTGAGGTTGAGAAAACAGTGCATTTAAAGGTTGTGTTTCAAGGGACAGGTCAGGGAGGGGACTGGAAAGGTCTATATATGTGGTATCAGATGAGGCAGATCCTCCAGCTTCCTTCCTTTCCCCAGCTAGATGGGCAAAAAGTCTGTCTTGTGGAAAATGCAGGGCCGGAAAATGGGGAAGCAAGAAATGCCTCTGCTGTTGCTTCTACTCTGCATAGAATACCCTAAGCCTCTGATTTCAGAGACTCACAGGTATCACAACAGAATTGTGCCCTTAAACCAGGAATATCAATAAGTCATAATGGAGTGCACAACTTCTCTACTTAATACTAAATTAGCACTGATTGTTAGAATACTACTGTGTGGAAAAGCCCAGGTGCCCTGTAACTTAAATCTAACCCCAACATCCTTTTTTCATAATTTGACTCACCACTAGATATTTAGTAACAAATAGTAGCATTAGGTTTTTGGCACATGAATCTGGATTTATATTGTCAGCTGTTCCTATTACATTTGATATTATAATTATCTGATTGCCTGATCCTGATGGACTTTTTTTGATCCCATAACTAGCACAAACCAGCAGAAAGGGATTAGAAAAAGATGAAGTTGGAGGTTTTTCAAATCAATATTGAGAACAATAAAAGATACATTAAAAGGTTTAAATGGATATAAAATCATTTAGAGAAAACTTAAGTCAACCCACCAGTTTTTACATCTACATTTAATGTAATTGTAAGAGTGGAGGATGAATGGAATAGTTCCAAATCCCTGGATAAGAATAATTGTGTTACTGACCAATGTACAATGACCTGTTTTCACTTCTCAACATCATGTAGTGCCTTAACACTTATGAAACGTACCTTGAATGATCATGCCTGCTGTGGAAGATGACTTTTTCTTTTGATGTGGCAGAAGATCTATTTCCCATCTGTTTAGCAACAGCACTTGACTACTTTTTCTGTTGTATTCTCCTGATATTACGAATAATTTGATATTAAACATTTATCCCTCCGCAAAATCAATCTGTTTCAACTAATTTTGGATTGCAATGACAAGTAAATCTCAAATGAAAAGAAAGCACACGGTAACTGCCCTTTGACAATTATGACAATTTGACAATTATGCATGTCAAAAACACATTTACATTAAACTTTTTACATCAATAATGCTTACCTGTGAGTATGAATCATTGAGTAATGTGACCTGTGATTTTCATGTCAGTAAATGTACTTGTTCATTAGGTGGATGAAAAGTTTAAAAATTGATCTATTATAGGGTAAAATGTGTAATGTAACCTTACAACTGGAGCAGCAAAGACAATATATATAACCTCAGTACTAGAGCAAAACTAATTTATATGATATACAATAACAATAGTTAATTTTAGTGCTTGGATTGTGTGGTAAATTACTGCATATAGGATAGCTTCTAACACAGGTTACAGAAGATAGGATGACAATCATTGTATGTGTATGCAAATACACGTGTTTGTGAGCATGCAAGCTAGCTTGCTGCATCTGAGTTTAGTATTTGAAAATTGTTGAGATTTTTTTTTGTTCACATCTTCCAATCTACAATGGTAGATTTTGCCCTTTCAAAAGCTAAATTTTGAACTAATTTATAGTCTCTATGCAGAGTGGCAAATTGTACTGTTTATGAACTTCTGTCTTTAATGTATTTTTATTGTATTGTGTTAACCTCTTTTTATATTAATTGTAAGCATTATTATAATGATTTTAAGAAATCATTCATATTTGACCATTTGTGGGTGTCACCACAAAATGGGTGCCACAAGATGTGTAGCAAATGAGAAATGACCTGCTCAAATGACTAAATACAAAATGGAATATGAGCTTCAGCACACTAAGTCATTTCTTGGAACCTACAGTTTTCAACACCAACAAAAACCTTTTTCACAGCAATCCCAGCTGCAGGTAAGATTTTTTTTTTTTAAGATATGGGGCATAGGGTACCTTGTTGGGCACCAAGAAATTTGGGAGTGCTTTTGTACCAATGAGTCTCATGTTGTCTACTCTTGATGTGTTAGATTTTGTGACCCTTATTAACTGTTTTTAACTGTCTGAGAAATGATAAAATTAAAAGCAAGCTTTAGGGTGTTTCAACTCACTTTGATGCCATTTTTTTCTCTTCTCATGGTATCTTTGACAGGAACGGTGCTTGTTATATTTAAATTTGTTGCAATACAGGCAGTCCCCAAGTTCTGTTCCTGAGGAAAGGACAAGTCAAGTCATATTTGTATATAAGTCAGATCACGTATAGTTGGCTAACTCCACATTTGCAAAGACTAGGGGTGCAGGACCTCCATAAAAGCAGAAAAACCATGAATATCTTTAGCTCCGGCCTTCCACCCAAATTCACTAGTCCCTCCTCTTTGCAGCAAGAAAGTTCTGGAGAGATTTTCCTCTCTAGATGGATGTGACAGGAAGGCATGCTTTGGAGGCCTCCCTCTCTACCCTTTCACCTTCTCTCTCTCTCTATAGTGATAACAATTTTCCATAGTAAATGTTTTAAAATAAGCTGTATGGCAGTTCATTTGGGTTATTTGTAATTCAGGCGTCTGTAACTCAGGGACCTCTTGTATTTCAAACAACAGGCTTTAAAATATTTAGTAGTCCCAGATATAACATACGTTACTCAGTTTAAGAAGGGTATTAACCAAATGTGGATTATGGGTGTGAAAAACACCTTGTATGTATGCTTGAAAGCTTGCGGCAATGTTTAAACTAAAGTTAAAATTAGAAAATTGTAATCTTTTTGGTAGACTTTTAATATAAATGTTAAAATCAGGCAGGCCAATCCTATATTATTTATAGGCTTCAGCGAATGGGGCGGCATAAAAATGTTTTAATAAATAAATAAAAATAAAAATATTATAGATATAGCAGCTACTCTTATGTGTTATGCAAATTATAATAACATGATCAGTGTAAAATGATTGGGATGCAATGCTTCTCCCAGCAAAAAACTCAAAATAATAGCAAGAGACAGAAGAGCTTATAAAGGAACAAAGCAAATCCACAAACTTCTTGGCAACCTCACCATCACCTACCATATCAGGATAATGATAAAAACCCAACATTAGCCATACATGAAAGACATCAATAATGATGGTAGGAATACCAAGATGACATAATTCAACTCATTCCATGCCTTCTTTCACATATAGTGAACAAGCAGGCTGCCCACAAAAGCCCACACTTCCTCCCCCATTACAAATTTTCCTAACCTAGGGGTGAGAAAACTTCAAGATGGAAGCCATAGGTCACAAGCTTCCAGAACAAAAGTTTTTATCCAGAGTGGTCTCTGGCATAGCTACTCATGCTCATTTTTGAAAAAACTGTTTTTAATCCTTAGACTTACAGAGATCTATCTTGCCTGTTTCTATACTGGTTTCCATCCAGACAGTCAACATTAGAGCAGACGAAATGAAATCAATGCAGTTACGTTAAAGCCTAACTGAAGTTTCATTTATTTCAATGAAACTTCTAAGTAGTGCTGGTTCTAAGTACTGCTACTGTAGCTCTGACCTATTGTATATATCTTTTTAGTATTTATCTTTTATTATTATTGCATTTATTGCAACAACAGATAAAATTATTTTAAACTATGCTTTCCCCCACTTAGTTTAAGGAGATATATATACACCCTGTGCACTTAATTGCAAAGTGTGCTGCAGCAGGAAAAAGAAGATGCACATTTGATTCCGGTCTCTCAGAAATGCAGAAGTATCTTATGCTCCACGTCTTCACTATAAGAAAGATTCCGTGTTTTCAGGGAGCATAGATAATGAGTGCAGAGGGACCACATGTTACGAGGAATTAAGACTACCGGAATCAGGAATCGGTCAGGTCTGAGCTAAGGCGTGCATTCACGAACGGAGTGGGGGAAACCCTCATTACGGAGTTTCAAAGGCCAAGAAAGAGGAGAGGAAAGGTAATTTGAGTCTAGGCTTATCCCAGAAAACGTTTTCAGCTCTAAAACTGACTCCTGGAAAAGGATAAACTCTCTCTGTGTGAGTCCCTAAATATACGAAGTAGCTTACCATTTTTGCCCCTCAGTACCCGTCCATCTGTCGGGTGCCTGGGGACGCCAAGTCACCTACGAAAGTAGGAGAGGCTGGAGGTTTGGGACCTCTTTTTCGGGAAAAATAAAAAGACTGCTTTGCCACTAGACGGCCTGAGCAGGGCCACAGTGGCCACAAAGAGAAATGAGACAGACGCGGGCGTAGAGAGGAGCATCACCTCCCCTCCCTCCCTCCCTCCCTCCCGCTGGCGTCCCTTCTGCTCCAGGCTGGGGAATGCTGGGCTCTTCGCGCCATACGTGCGCAAGGCACCCTCTGCCTTTGATTCCCGCCGGCGCTCCGAAAGGGTGCCCGCCACAAAGAAGCCCTCGCCACGCTCTTGTTCGCTCTCTCCCGCCAATGGGAGCACCCGCTGTTTCTTCGGGCAGGGGAGGGGATGCTCGCTGGTCCACCAACTCTTCGCAAGAAAGCCCGCCCCTTCCCGGCTTCAGCTCCTCCCTCTGTCCCGTTATAGTGCGTGAGGGGGAGGAAGCGGGTCGGAGTCGACTGCGAGTGTCTGAAAGGAAGGTAGGCGAGCTAGAGAGGAGTGGGGGTCCAGGAGAAAAAGCGAGAGAAAAAGTGCGTTGGGTTTGGCTCGTTGCATGCGACAGGTGCGGTTTTGCCTGTAAGGCCGGAGCAGTTGGGTCGTCTTTTCAGCGCTCCCTCACAACGTCTGCCTAGGCACCCACGCGCTTGCAGAGGAATTCGCGGCGCTCCACGTGGCGGTATAAAATGGGGCAGAACGGGAAGGGCGGGGGAAACCGTGGGTGGATATCTCCCACTGAGGGGTCGTCTATGGATGTGTGGTGCTGAGGAACTTTAGTCCCGGGGGGAACCATGAGGGGAAGATGGTGGGAAGCGGACGAATGGAAGCCGTGTACGTGGTTAATGAAGGGTTTGGCATGGGGTGAGTGGAGGCTTCCCCACTCACGAATATTAGGATACTAGGAGGGGGGCAGTAAGCGTGGAAGCTAAGGGGCCAAGGTGGGCGGTCTGCCTTGATGTGTGCGTGCGCGGGGGTGGATTTCATTATGGATGCTCCCTCGCTGCTCTTAGATACTTGGGCTTGAGTCGTTTCGCTTTTATGCTTGCATCTTTAATTTACCTTATTTTGGGCGGGTTGGGGGCGAGAAGTTTAAAGAAATCATGGGAGGACTTAGGGGGTTTTGAGCTTTATGGGTGAGAAGGATTAACAAATGTTCATCTTAAGCATGGATCCGGCTCACTACGTGTAGTTTGTGCACATGGCTTGCTTTGTGTGCCAGTGTGCTCGTGCGTGCGTGCGTGCATTTGAAAGGTCAGAGGGTATCTTACTTCTTCGGTGTTGTGCACATGCATCTTGGTGCTGAGATAACTGTTATTCCAAATAGAAGGTGTTTCCAGCAGATACTTGATGGTTTTATCAATTGTCTTCAAAATGGTTCACAGTGTATATGCAAAATATTTAACCTTTATTTATTTATTTATTTATTTAAAACATTTGTATGCCGCCCAATTGTGCCACAACACCTCTGGGTGGCTCACAACACGAGATAAAAATACTATTTAAAAAAATGGGTATTAGAAAACTATTTGGGAAAAATACTAAAATAAGAAGATAGTCTGTTGTAAAATAATAGTCTATTGTACCTGTCTACATTTTCAGTGCATGCTTATGTGTGAAGTTCAGATTCTGTTGTTTTACATATCCTGCTTATCAGTTAATGCAACTTTCCTCAACCTGTTGTCCTTCACATTTGGACTTTAGTTTCTCTCAGCTGCAGCCAGCATGGCTAATGGTCAGGAATTCTGGCAGTAGTAATCTAAAGATTTGGAGAACACCAGGTGGGGGAAAGCAAGCTTAATAGTTTCATTACTTGATGATTTACAGCTCAGTGTGTGTGAGCTGCCTCCAATGAAAATTTTTTGAAATAATGTGAAGTGATAAAAGTTCTATCTGTGGTGGTTTTTGGACACTGGTGTGCCAAGTGATGAACAATATACATTAATACAACTTTAATCTAAAATTAGTGGATCAATTAATGCAGTGTACAAGGATGTAATTGATGCTGTGCATGGTGTGCATGTCATAGTGTTAATAAATGCTTAGGGCTGCTTGAATATCCATTAGTGCTGAATGAACTGACATAGCTCCTTGAGTGCTTCATATCTCTTTTCCTTGGAAAAGGGCATGTATGTATTGGGAGCAAAGTTTTGTCTTTTTCTTGTGTGAGGTCAGCTGCATTTCAAAATGGTATACTTTGGACTGGGGGAAGTGAAACCTTTTCACATCAAAGTCCTTCCCTTGTTTACAGTGCTGTCTTTTGGTGACTTTTTGAACCATAAGAGTGCTGGCCATTCATGCCACATGGAGAAAACATTCTTATTGAAACAGTTGTGCTGAATTGGCACAAGTGTGACTGGACGGTTAAACTGTACTTCTTTATGAGAAAATGAAAAATGATAGCTGTGTTAGCACATGAGCAAAACATCCCAAAGTTCAAAAGTCTAAAAATGAGTTACTAGTTTTATTAGAATAACAAAAATGGGCAAGCTTTCAAGCTCTTCTTTCACTAGGGTAGGTGGTACCAGAGGCAGGTACCAGATCTTTGACCAGATCTGGTGGCTGTGAGGTCTGCAGTATACAGAAAATTCTGGAATTAGTAGTTCTGTGTTCCCTCTTTTTTTAGATTGTTTTTGATTGACACTTTTAAATAACAGTCAGGCTACTTTCAAAATACTTCAAGTGATTTATTACAGTTGTTCCTTGCTTTCCCTGGTAACTATGTTTGAGTCACCCAAACTGTAATGTGTGGGTGTTTTTTTACATGGAACCTCTGCTCTATATGGCAAAAAATATTTAGATTTTCAGGTTGGTATCTTTTCTAAAAGATATTACAGAATTCCATGCGGCATACAATGGGATTAGATCTCTTCCCATCAGCATTGGCTTGTTTTTGCAGTTCTATCATTTTTCCATCCCCTGCCATGCACATCCAGACAGTAATCTGTATGAACAATGTTTTGTGTGTTTTGCTGGTGTCAGTGAGCAGCTAGATGTAAATCTATGCTATGTTGCTGTTTTGCCTAACTTACTGAAGGTACAATCTCATGCATGTTTATACAGAAAAAAGTTCTATAACTCTCAACATTACCCATCCTACCATGCTGGCTGTTGAATGGGTATGATTTTTTCTCTCTCTAAACATGCATAGGATTGCACCCTGTATGTGTATTTTTAGGGTTACCAATTATGCATGGCTAGTTGCTTTAAAGCACAACCTGTGACTGTTTACCTGGAAGTACTGCAGTGTTCAATGGAACTTATTCCCAGGTTAAGTATACACAGGAATGCAGCCCTATTTTTCTGAAGTCTGTCAGAGAAAAGATGAATGGGTAAAATTCAGGGGTTATTACTTAGTGAGTGTATTTCCATACAGATGGGGTTATTTCCAACTAGTTTTGCCTTTTCACGAGTGTAGTGTTTTTGTAAATAAGAGTATTATTGTAGTAAATCTATTTTGTAATGTGTATTGCAGCTATTATGTTCTGATGACTTTACCTGTAAGCTCCCCCCCATGAAGTTTTTCTAAGGTAAGGACAAAGCAGTCAGTCATGGAAGCATGGCAGCAGGACAAAATCTTTTATAGGAGTATATAGACATTGCAGAAAATAAATGGCCTGTAATGTAAATAGCCATGTGTTGTATGGCTCTTGACTTGAAGAGCTGGAGCTGAACTGTTAAAATCGCCCCCCCCCATGTTGCTGGTTAATGCTTGCCATGTTCCATAATTAAGCCATGTTGAAGCTTCTGCTTCTGCACAATTCAGGCCTGCCATTGGTTTTGTTCCTCTGGTTTTGTAGTTAGATGTTAGAGAACTAAACAACATTGTGAAGAAAGTGAAGCACCATTTTTAAAAACTTAAAATTTTTAAGTTTGAAACTTTGAAATTTGCAGTTTTATAGGAAAGGCTTCTCTTTCAGCTTTGTGGGATTATCTTTTATCTTTTAAGGCTGTGTGCTAAACTGCATAGTAATCACTTTTGCATTTTGCTGTAGCCTGCACAACCTTTTTTGGAAGAATGAGTGCCAGCCTGTGAAGTTTAGACAGCCTTTATAATTATTGGTCCACATTCTTCATATAAGTGATTACATTTTGACTGTTGATGTTGCAATGCCAGGAAACATTTGAATTCTCTTTGTTGTAAGAGAAATCATGTGCATAGTTACTTTAAAAAAAGCCTTGCTGTGTTCAGTAGAGATTACTTCCAAGTAACTTTGTGTAGGATTGCAGCCCGCCCTTGCTAATCATATGTTGATCAGGTGTACCTGTTAGCTTGATTTACAGCATGAGTCACTACTAACTGAAGCCTGAACTGCATCAGTTATATATGCATAAATGGCTCAGCATCATTGGTAAATTTTCAGGAGCCTCGTTACTGCAGTCTATAAAACAAAGATACACTTCTGGTTTACCTATCTTGTCCTTGGTGCTTTACACTCATTGGTTTTGCTGTGGACTAAACAGGCCATGTCAGTAGCAGTCTACTTTTCCACACTCTTAGCTTTTGCTCAATGTGGTCCTGGTTTTAAACTTTGTATAAACTTTACTGCACACATACTTCCTTACTACTAGATCATTGTTTCATTTCCCCCACTTTTCCTGTTGTATTTCTGCAATTGCACCAGTTCACCCACACATAATAATAGCATTTTTTCTGTGGAACCCTTTAGAAAGGGAAGGCAGGCCCCGAAGAATGAAATTATGCTGTGACTGAAGTTTTGCAAGGTCAGAAGTAAATCTCTTCTCCCCACCAAAGAAGACATAGGCTGGCATTTCAAGGGAAGAGTGGCTAAATTTGACCAAACTTGGTGTAGGAAGAAATGAGTTGGGGACAGTAACTGAGGAGAAAGACGCTGTGCTATTAAATCAGACTAATCATGGAAAGGTTTGTACCTCTGGAATAAGGTACTAGTTCATTTTTATTTTTTTTTTTTTGAGGGGGGATGCCAGAAAGTGAATTGCTATCTATAGACAATGAGGATGAAACTAGATATGAGGCCTGAGATATTCTCAGCTTTTAAAAATAGCAGCTAAACTCCATGCCTCACTGAATGAAGAAAATGAATGGGGCAGGGCCAGATTATGTAATGCAAAGGGGTGAGGTTTGAGGCTGCTCCTCCAACATAATCTGACCTGCTGGCTTGGCCTTGGTGGTGGATCAATGTGCTCCCTCAACCAAAAAAGATTACTCACTCTTGCCCTGTACCATTGTTCTAGTCCCCCTCTCCAACTACCATTTGTAAAATTTTAAGGAAGTAGTGATGCTTTTAATGTAGCTATATTGTTTCATCTTTTTCATTAGTGAAGTGAGATAAAGACCATATCACCACTATGCTTTGTTATTCGTGGATAATGTAGCCTTTCCATATTCTTGCAGTTTCTGGAACTTTTGATGTTCTTTGCCATAGTTCAAAATGAGCACTTAAGCATTTTAATAATTATAAACTAAAACAATCTATTCTAAAGATATATCCAGAGCCAGTGT